AGGCCAAAGGACTTAAAAAGACATTTCACCAAAAAAGACATGCTTATGGGTAACAGGGGAATGAAAAGGTGATACAGGTCACTGAACATCAAGGAAACGCAAACCCAAACCACAGTGAGTTATCACCTCATACCTGTTAGGATGGCTATTACCAAAAAAAAGAACAAGAGATAAGTGTTGGCCAGGACGTGGAGAAAGGGACCCCTTGTGCACTGTTGGTGGGGATGTACATGGGTACGGCCGCTGTGGAAAACCGTGAGGAGGCTTCTCAAAATTCAAAATAGAAACACCGGTCTTGGCCAGGTGGCACAGTTGGCCAGTGTCCTCGCTACACCTGGGTTGTGGGTTCCACGCCTGGGCAGGGCACGTACAAGGATCAACAGATGAATGTAAATAAGTGGATCAGCAAATCAATGTTTCTCTCTCCTTTCCTCTCTCTCTAAAATCAATACATAAATTAAAAAAATATGATCCAGCCTTCCCACTTGTGGGTATATCTCCAAAAGGACTGAAGGCAGGGTCGCAGCCCTAAGTTTCTTGCGCCTTCCTCACCATAGCCAAGGTGTGAAAACCACCTCACCGTGCACCGACGGTGGATATGGGGAAATGTCGTAGACACAGACAATGGAATGCCCTTCAGCCTCTGAAAAGAAGGGAATCCTACCATTTGTGACAATATGGATAAACCAGGAGCACTTTATTTATTTTATTTGTTTTATTTTTTTAAATTCTCACCTGAGGATACATTTGTTGGTTTTGAGAGCGAGGAAGGGAGAGAGAAAGACACAGACGTAAGAGAGAAACATCGCTCGGTTGCCTCCTGTATGTGCCCCAACTGGGGATCAAACCGACAACCTAGGTATGTGCCTTGACTGGGAATTGAACGTGCGGCCTTTTGGTGTACGAGACAACACGGTAAGCAACTGAGCCAGGCTAGGGCTCAGGAGGACTCTATGCTGAGTCAAATAAGCCAGTCACAGGAGGACAAATGCTGCGTGATTCCTCACACACGAAGTGTCTAAAGTAGTCAGACTTGTAGTAGCAGAGAGTAGCATGGTGGTTGCCAGGGACTGGGGTGGGAGGGGGAGGAAACGAGAAGCTGTTCGGTGGTTGGTATAAACTTTCCGTGACACGGGAATCTACTCCAGCCATCACTGTACATATTGTGCCTATGTTGACAATACTGTATTTACACCTACAATTTTGTTAAGAGGGTGCATACCATGTAAAGTACACACAAAGTGCAGCATAGACGGCAACAGCAGGAAACGTTTGGAGGTGATGGGTGTGTTTATTACCTCGACCGCGGTGATGGGAACACAATCCAAATGCATCCAACTGTGGGCATTAAATAGGTGCGGCTGTTTTGTATACCAGTCAAAACAGGGGGGTCCACTCCCCACACAGAAGCGGCTCCTCTGGGCCTAACCCTCGCAAGTTCTGGGCGCCAGTTCTGGGTGGTACTTCCTGTCACAGAGGCCCGCCAGCCAGCAGCTGGGACTCAGCTTGGTCCCAGGGGACATGCACTTCTCTGAACAATGTCAGGAAAGGAAACTGAACTCAAGGGCTCTTCGGGGTTTTCTGGTCAGTTCTGGCTGTGAGCGTGGAGGGGGAGGTCGGCAAGTCCCCTGGGGAGGCTGGTGGGCCCTCGCCTGGCTGCTGGGAGCGGAGGCCCTGCTGTGGCAGGCCCACGTATGATAATGGTTGTTTTAATGAGATGCTGCTACTTATCCACAGCTGTGTTGTGTTAAGCTCTGTGTTACCCATTACCTTGAGTTCTTTAGGTATTTTGTTTGGGCTGCTTTATTGAGATATAATTCATATAGCATACAATTATTTCATCCATCTAGAGTACACAGTTCAGTGACTTTTGGTATATTCAGAGATGTTTAACTATCATTACAATCAGTCTTAGAACATTTTCCTCTCTCCAAAGAGAAGCCCTGTACCCCTTAGTCCTACCCTTCCAACACCCGCTCCCCTCAGTCCAAGGCAACTGCTATTTTACCTTATGTCTCTGTAGGTTTGCCAGTTGTAGATATCCCAAAGGTAGAGTGAAGGAGGGAAATTAGGAGGTTCAGAGAGGGTAACTGACCAGCTTAAGGTCACACAGCTAAAGAAGTAAAAGACTTGAGACTTGGACCCAGATTTTCCCATTCTAGTCCATATCATCCCACAGCACCACAGAGCTTTTCCTTCCCACTAACAGTGTTAAAGGTGGTCAGTCCTTATGGTTGAAATGAGATGCTTATTTTACCTCCATTGTCACATTTAATGTTCACAGTCACCCTGGGAGGTAGGTACAGTTTTTATACCCATTTTGCAGAGAGACAAACAGACACCAAGGAGCTAGTGGACCAATGCATCACGGCTGCTAGCAGATGGAAGGGGGTTATGGGAAAAAACACGTGCATTTCTGAGGACCGGTGAGGGCGGCAGAATAGAAAATGGAAATGATTCTGATTAAAAGACTATTTTTTCTTAGGTTGTCCCCCCTCCCCCTTCTTCTTTCTTATTGTATAAAAAGGAAAAGAAAGTCCCCTCCACCCTTTGAGGTCACTTCCTGACCCACTTGTGAATCTCTGAGGATTGGTTACACACTCACTTCTCCCTGCCCGAATGCCTCCTGTTAATGCTGGGGATGGGCAGTGGGCCTGTGTGCACGTGGGTTCAAGTCCTGCAGCCGCCACCCGCCCAAGTCACTAATATCCTACCGTAGCCAACCCACGGAAAGGGTTTCTGCCCCGTATGCCTGAACATACTGGCTGACTTCTCCCCCACCCCATCAGGCTTTGGAAAAGAAGTGTCATTTTGTATTCAAGTCCTTCCAGCAACTGGGGCTGCTGTCACAATCACTTTATTTTGAACAACGAGGAGACTTTTGAGAAAAAGAGGAGGTGAGGAGCCCCAAACAATTCCTCATTGTGCCAGATTCCATTAGCTGTTCACCTGAGGCTACAAAATGAGGCAAAGAGAAACAGGCGATTAAAAAATGTGAAACAAGCAAACTGCCATCTACCGTACCATTATCTCGTATAGCACAACCGACATTTTCACTCCAAAAATGCTGTAGGCTTGCAACCACAGATTAAAAGCATTTTTTTCAATGGAAGCATGTCCTACATGTTCTTTTCTTGCTTGATCCCAGGGGACCAGAGAAGACTCCGGCCAGCTTTAGCATCTGTGTGAACAGAGGTGAGGAGCCAAGGCTTCCCGCAGTGGTTTCCAAGGCTTCTGCTTGCACTCGGTCTCATTTATCAGCAAGAGAGTCAACATGCTTCCCTACACATGGAGACTTTGTAATGTTGGGTTGGCCCAAAAGTTTGTTTGGCTTTTTCCATAAGATGGCTCTAGTAGTGCTTAGTTGTCTTTAACTTCATTTGAAACAATTTTGTTAGGCTGTATTGTGAGAGCTGTCATAACGGTGTGCGTTAAAAAACATCAAAGTTGGTGAACTTTTGTGTAGTGATTTTAATATTGAAGATGGAAGAAAATAAGCAATATTATCAGCATATTATGCTTTATTATTTCATGCAAGGTAAAAATTGCAAGTGAAACACACAAAACAAAGATTTGTGCAGTGTAAGGAGAAGGTGTTGTGACTAATCAAATGTGTCAAAAGTGGTTTGCAAAGTTTCGCGCTAGAGATTTCTGGGTGGAGGATGCTTCACAGCTGAAGTTGATAGCGATCAAATGGAAACACTGAGAGCAAGCAATGTTCTACTACACAGGAGGCAGCTGACGTATTCAAAGTATCCAAATCAATAAAGTTATTGGTGGAAATGAAAATGACTCTTTTACATTATGGAAAGAACCAAATAGACTTTTTGACCAACCCAATAATATTATGCACACATATGGTTGTACTAATATATCATATACATTATATAATGTCCCAAAATAGAAGTGTTAAAAGAATGGATGGAAATATAAGTTGAAGTTCTAAAATAAACAAACAAAAAGCAAGGTCAAGAAATATAATCCAGATTTAGCCATTATTCCTGGCAAATCGGCCCTGTGATTCCAAGTGGTTAACACTGCAACAAGCCTTCCAAAGAGCTCTTTAGAAACAGCGCACTAGGTGATCTGTGGCGGTAGCCCTGGTCCACCCCTGAGACAGGACCAGTGAAAGGAATGAATCCACGGATTGTCTAACGCCAGCGCATGCGCCCTGTGGCTTCAACTATAACATTGTCGTTTATAGCAGCATTCCTAGATTAAAAAGTGTAACTGGAGCAGTTCAGGAGTAAAACATTAGCTCTGTCTTCCAGCTCTATCAGCGACCCTAAAGCTGGCTCTAGTCACTCGGAAGACATTCCTACCAGAGATACATACGAAAGCTTTGCATGCCATTGTCTCATGACACCAGAGAATGGGGAAAAGCAGTATTTCTCCTGAAGAATATGTTACATCATACGGTGTGTGACTTCAAATAGGCACAGCTAGTTAAGTGAGTCCACTACCATAACTAGGCATTTGGCTAAGTCATCTATATGCTTAGAAGTTTATCAGGTGAGTCTGCAACAACAATCTCATTGGGAAATGGGAGCTCAATCATTTGTTTCTTACAGCAAACTTGTGCAGCCGGCACTAATTTTACGCTGTCGGACAGATGGGGAGAGGGAGTGTGCGCGTATTTACATGCCTTGTGGCGGCAGTAAGAGGTAGTTAGACACCAGCTCAGCTTAGAACCACCAACAGCAATTCCTGGTGATTATGAGGAATATAGTAAATGTATGTAAAACACGTGTATGCAGTAGGCGCTCCATAAATGCTACTGTATGTGGACGTTTTCGTCCTTGCAAAACTTGCAAATGACTTCGCTTCCACTCTCACTGCCTCGGTTTCTTCTGCTCGAGTCTCAGGCCAGGCGCGCCGCGTGGGGGTGCTCAGGGACGCTGGCGGGGCAGGGCTTGCCTCGGGCGGTGGGTGGGGCGGCCGGGGCGCGGGAGGGGAGGCGGCACCCGGGGAGTCACGTGGCGCGGCTGCCGCAGAAGCAGAAGTGGCAGCGCCGGCGTCGGAGGGCTTGCGCGTCAGGGAGTGCCCGGAGCCCGGACGGCGGGCGATTGCGCGCGGGACCCCAGAGCCGGGACCTGCGGCTGGGGCACGGCCAGGTGGGTGGCCTGGCCTGGCAGGAGCGCAAGGGGGCGCCGGGGATCTGAGCCCGGGGGAGCCCGCGCCCGGTGGGCTGCGTCCAGAGGGAACCTGCGCCGGGGCGCAGCGGGCCGGGGTGGGGAGCAGCGGCTGGGTCCTCGCCCGATGTGCCCGGGGTCCGCCACTTAGCGGGTCGGTGTCCTAGGGTAGTCGCGGCTTTGTATGGGGACTCAGAGGAAGCGGCGCAGCTTGCGGTCCGAGGGTGTCGGAGCCGGCGCAGGATTTGAGGTTCAAGGCTCCTTGTTTTTGGCCACCTCGATGCCTAGGACTCGCCCACTCCGCGCGGCCGTACCGGCACTTCCCCGTATCGTACAGGTGGCTGAGGATGGGTGGGTGGCGGCGCGGAACCACGAAGGCGCAGCCTTTCCCTAAGGCGAGAGAGACCAGGACAGTGTTTGGGGCCCCGCAGTTTTGTGCATGGTTATTTGTGCACGTCCGTGCGTTTTCCTGATTCTGTTTTGGAATCCCAAAGAGATCATTACCTCCCATAGCGGAAGAATTCTAGGGAAAGATGTGTCTAGTTTGGGCTGGGGTTGGCTCCTGGGTTCCGGTGGAGGCTGGGGAGGGACTCTTGGCACCCTAATCCTGAATGAGACTGAAAGAGGGTGGTGGGGTGAGGGGCCTGACCTGGCTCAGGGGAAACAGGTGGCCTTCTCTAGCAGCTTAATTTGAATTTCAATTTCAGCTGTGAGCCTGGGCTAGTTGAAGAACCTCTCTGAGCGTCAGTTTCTTCCCTTGAACACTGGGCTACGTTGAAAGTTGGGGCTTATCTATGGAAAGGGTACCTGGCTTGTTTACCCTCTGGTTACCCTCTGGGTAACCCTCTGGTTACCCGTGGGGGCTCGGGCCATCAACCTTAGCTACAGTTCTTCAGGGAGGGCTTACTAATATAGGGCTAGTCCCAGCCGCAGGCGCTTACCTTGTTACAAAGGTGTGTGCACCACGTGTGTAATTGGCTCAGGGACCATTGCAGGCTTCATTGATGCTGAACTCGCCTATTGATGCTGTTATCCCCCTGGACTGCCCACCCTCTGCACCACTTGACCTTGAATAATGGGACACCCCCCACCCCACCGATGTGTATACTCTTTGCTGGGTGGAAATGGGAAAAGTCAGTGGGAAATGTTCAGTGAGAAAACTTGAAAACAGTAAAAACACAAAAAAGAAAAACTTATCCATTATGTCACCACTGCAGTTAATAAAAAATCAAGTCGTCCTTTCTGCCTTCTTCCACTCCTGTCCCCAAAGTAACCCCTTTTCCTGGATTTATTAGCAGACAGCCTTCTAAAAATCTTATACTCAACTGGTTTGTAACTCTTTTTCATCTCTCTCACGATCTTTCCAGATCAAATCGCTTACAAATTGTCCTCATGCTTTCCAATAGCTATGGTGCATTATTTAATTGTGTGTCTCATTATTTATTTACAGAACTCTTCCCGAATCACCCCTCTCCCCCATTTGATGGGCATTTGAGTTGTTTCTTGGGTGGTTATTCTTTCTCTGATTCTGTTACACGTGATGCCCCTGTGAACATCTTTGTGCGTGTTTCTTTCTGCACTTAAGTGATTATTGGATCAAACAAAGCATATGCATGTTTTACTAGATGCTCACAGGTTGCCCTAAAAAAAAGTGGAGCCATGCACATTCCTCCCTGCAGTGGCTAATACTCCCTGTTCCTGTAGTGAGAACACATCCTGACGCTGCAGGGTGGGTGTGAGGGCAGCTGCAGCATCCCTTAAGCTGCAAAAGGGTCGCTTACCTCTCAGGGATGCGACTCTGCTGACTTTTAACGAAGAATTATTTCATGGGATTTTGTATAATATCCTGTAGTAACCTAAGGTGTACAGGAAGCTATGAAGAGAAGAAAATTCCCCTGCTTCCTGGTGCTGGGTCCTTGTGTCCTAGAAGTTTATTTCAGAGAGAAGGACATGAAAAGTAGAAATGGTGAAACCTTGTTCTGAATCTCAGCCATGTTTTTGTATCATAAGTTATTTTACACAATTACCCAGGGAGGATGAGGAACAAGAACAAAAAAGGGATTTCAAGGCTATTCCTTTCCTTTTCCTTTACCTTTTCCTTCTTTCCTTCCTTTTTCAGAAGCAAAATGGACAGTGCCTCTTGTGGCTAGTGACCTCCCCTGGGTTGCTGAACATCCAGCCCTGGAAGCCTGGGTCAGGAGCAGGCTGGATTTTGATGGTTGATTCCAACGATCTTGTGGCCATGAGGATGTCTTTCCAGTTCTTGGCCAGAGGGGGTGGGAGAGACCTGGTGTTTATGGTTGAGCCCATCCTTGCCTTGGGGCTTCTAAGCAGGACGTTATCAGAATGTGGGGGTGGTTAAGTTCAGGACTCTCAGAGCCAGAGCCAGAGTCAGAGTTGAGGGCGCAGTGTCTCCCTGCTGGCAGGTTTAATCAAAGGTGGAGGTGTTGTGATAAGGTGTGTTTCTTCTTTCTGCCCTCCTGCACATTGGCCTTGAGCCTTGGGAGTGGGGAACTCCAGGGTTGGCATGACAGAGAGCCGCAGAGCTGGCACCAGGTTCAAAGTTCTGCCACTTTGCAGCTGTGTAGCCTTGGACAAGTCCTTTAACCTCTCTCTAGGGAGGGAGAGGTGCTGCCAGGTTAGTCACTATCTGGCCACATCCTTCCACGGGATTCTGAATTCCAGAAGGCAGGTGCCGAAGGAGCAGTGGGGTGGGATCCAGACTAGGGTTCCAGTCGAGGTGCCACCACTTGTATGCACGACCTGGACGATGTTATTTCACCCCTTTGGACCTTTTTTCTGTATTTCTCCTTGAGTTGAGTGAGATGAACCAGGTATAGAGCAGATGCTGGCACCTGGGGAGGGCCAGCAAACAGTGATTGGGTGAGGTTGGTCGGGGAAACCTTGTTCCCACCTTGACCTGGAGCAGAAGGTGGAGGGGTAGGAGGCTCACTTTCTTAGTGCAGCAGCAGGACCTCTGCTTAATTAAGCCCGTTCCTCTGCCTAGAACATGGTTCCTCCTGCTTCGTTTTTGTTTTAAAGTTTGAATTCAGATGCCCTCTTGCCCCAGAGGCTTTCTTTGAGCCCTCTAAACTCCTGGCCTCCCTGCTACTAAACTCAGGGACCCTTCCCGCTGCTCCCTTGGCACCCCCGCCCCAGTGTCTCTGCTGCTGTGCTGATCTCTCTACGGCAGAGCCCTTATGCTGACTGACGGTTGTGTTTCCAGATGGACAGAGACAGGTGCAGTTCATGGTCTTACTGGGTTGGCCGAAAAGTCCGTTACAGTTTTTTCCGTATGATGGCTCTAGTCCTGCTTAGTTGTATTTAATTCAATTTGAAACAGTTTTGTTAGGTTGACTTGTGACAGCTGTCATATCAGTGTGCATTTAAAAAAAACATCAAACTTGGTGAATTTTGTACAGCCATTTTAATATTGAAGATGGAAAAAGATATGCAACATTTTCAGCATATTATGCTTTATTATTTTGAGAATGGTAAAAATGCAGCTGAAATGTAAAAAAAGACTTGTGCAGTGGATGGAGAAGGTGCGGTGACTGATCGAATGTGTCAAAAGTGGTTTGAGAAGTTTCTTGTTACTATTGACCTTTTGGCCGAATAATTCTTTGCTGTGGGGCTGTCTCATGCGTTAGAAGATGTTTAGCAGCACCCCTGGTCTCTACCCACTAGAAGCCAATAGCAGGAGGTAGCCGACATACTCAAAATATCGAAATCCATGAATTTGTCAGTGAAAATGAAAAGCGTGTCTTTTATTTTATGGAAAAAACATGATGGACTTCTTGGCCAGCCCCATATTTATCTCTGGCTCCCAGCACACCTGCAGTGGTACCTCTGGCTGTGGGAGGGAGGGCCAGCTTAGGCCTGGGTCTCTCTCCACCCCCCTCATTTACCTACTCATCCCCAGCCCAGTGCCTGGTGTAGAGTTGACACTCGGCGAAGGTGTTGACTACCTGGCTGATTAATATCTGAGGCCTTGCTAAATTCTGGGGGCTGTGTACACACTGTAACTCAGTCCTTTTGGGGTGGTACTGTCATTCCCATTTTACAGATGAGGGAATTGAGGCCCCGAGTTTGAGCATCTTGGCTGGAGGCTCTGGGGGAGTCAGAGCCAGAGTGGAGGCCCAGACAGCCTGTCCGACCACAGGCCTCTCTGCAGAGTGACAGCTGTGGGCTCCTAAAGGGGTTGGGGAGGTAGGAAAGGTACACAGAACAGTGGGTACAGTACGTTTAGCAACAGCTGAGTCCCAGGAGCACTGACTTTGCATCATTGTTTTAAGGACCCAGGGTATAAATTGGGTTTAATTCTCACAAGAACCTTGGTTCTTGTGATCAATTTTCCCCTTTACAAGTGTGGTAATGAGGCCCAGGGGGCTTAAGGGACTTGGTGTAGGGCAGGGGTGTTAAACTCATTTTCACCAGTTGGCCTCAAGGTTGCCTTCAAAGGGCCGAGTGTAATTTTAGGACTGCTCCTTACATATCACTGCTCCTTAACTAGGGGCAAGAAGCTCGGTGCTGCCACCAGGCAGAAACAAGGTGCCGGGCCGGATAAAACAAGGTGGAGGGCCGGACTTGGCCCACAGGACTTGTGTTTGCCCCTGTGGTCTAGGGCCTGCCTTCAGTCCAGGTCCCCTTTGAGTGGCAGGCGGTGTGTCTTTGGACATTTTGGAGGCAGGATTGGGTTGGGGGGGTGGTGCAGAGCAAGGGCTTAGGGAGCGACTGCAGGGGTTGAACAGAGGAGTGACACGATTTCACTCGTGTTCTAAAAGCACCTTCAGGTCACTGGTCTGTGCACTGTCCCTGGGAAGCAGGCTCGAAGCAGGGAGGCCAGTTAGTGGGCGCTTTGAACGCTCCACGTACGGGATCCTAGGACGAACCATGAAGGGGTGAGACGGCTGGATTCTGGATTCGCTGCTGGCCGGGCTGTGGTTGTGAGAGCCGCCAGACAAGGCTGGCTCCTAGATTTGGGCCCCCAGCACGTCTCTGATAGACATCAGCTGTGCGTGGGACCAAGTGGTGATCAAGGTCACCTGCTGGATTCTGAGCAGCATGCCAGGTGCTTTGCTGGTGACATCTCATTCCAAGCTTTCTAACTGTCCCAACACCCTCGTTTTAGAAAGGGTGACCCTGAGGCTTGCAGAGGTCACACTGCCCACCCGGGGACACACACACAGCAGAAACCTACACCGGGATTTCAACCTGAGGCTGCTGGGCCCTGAGGTCTTCTGTTCTCTTGGCCCCATGTCCATGCAGAGGTCTCCATGGACACATTTTGGAGTTTTTAAAAAAAAATTGTTTTCCTCTGGTCCCAGTGTCATTAAGGAAGTAAAGGGATGGTTATGTATTTCTAGGCTGGGTAGAAGGGGATGCTGGTGTTGGGGGTGGGGGCCGGGAGCAGGTGTGGGCTGCTTTGGCTGTTCAAATATTCTGCAGCATTGAAAGTGTGTGGGGAGGGAGGAGCTCACAGCCAGGCTGGGGTGATTTGCGTATTCAAAGCCTGGATAACAGTTGGCTCATTGACGTTAGGGGTCTCCTCCCACACCTCCACTTCTGTTTAAACCTCCGCGTGGGCTCTGAGTGGTCAGCAATTTGCTGCCACTAGAACCTTCTCCTAAAACTCACCCTGCTGGTCATGAGATGGTATTTTGGCTCTTGAAGTACAAGCCCTGTTAACTAAATCCCCCTTAGTCAACTAAAGCCGGTTCACTCCTTTATTCTGTCCTCCCAGCCTCCTTGTGCCCTCGCTCCTCCTCCTCCCTGGAGAGGCGACAATGACCACCATGGTCAATGTGGATGGCCTTCCGGAATATGAGAAGAGTCAGATCAAGAGAGCCCTGGAGCTGGGCACAGTGATGACCGTGTTCAGCTTCCGCAAGTCCACCCCGGAGCGCAGGACCGTCCAGGTGATCATGGAGACGCGGCAGGTGGCCTGGAGTAAGACAGCCGACAAGATCGAAGGCTTCTGTGAGTACCCGCTGGGTGGGCAGAGTGGCCTGTGGTCCCCAAGCCCGGGCCCGTGCATCTCCTCACCTGCCCACCTTGACTTGTCACTGCAGTTGTTGGTTTAATTCCTTCTTTTCCTCTAAAAATGGAAGCGTGGCCATTTCGTCTGGGTCTCTGATGGGGTTTAGAGCTGGTGGGGGAAGTTCAATCAGTTTCTTCAAAGTCCCAGAGGCCGTGTGGGCCGACTTGGAACTGACGTTCAGACAGCTCGCCTGGGCTGGCAGGGGTCCTTTGGTTCCTGTTGATTGTCAAGCTGTCTGCCCTCTTAAGGGCGACAGGCCAGACTTTGCAGACACTCATAGCTTGTTGGCCAGATACATGTCCGTTTCACTTTTCCTGCAAACTGCAGAGTGAGAGGCCTTTACTTTAGCTGGTGTGGACAGTGCGCGTCCTGCAGCTTTCGGATGCAGCGCAGCCCTGGGGGAGGTGCCGGCCCTTCCCCACACCCGGAGGGTGGGCAAGTGGCTCAGCTCCTAAAGTTTCTAAGATTGTTTCTTAACGAAGGGAGAGGAAACTCAAGCAATTTTCAGTTGTAGAGACTTGCTTTAATTTGCGTTTTTATTGACTACTTTTTAATTGAAAAATTAAATGTACACTTGGGAGAAAAACCAAAAAAATTCATAAATGTCTCTCTCAGCTTTCACCCATAGGCAAGCTCATTATCAAGTTCTTTTGTCTTCCAGAATTACTCTGTGCTTATTTAATGTGTGTTGTGTGTTTTTTTACACAGATGGGTATCTCCTACATACACTTCTGCACCTGATTTCTTCTTTAAATTTAGTAATTATTTTGGAGTTGGTTTGCTGTCAGCACGTGGATCTGCCTCCTTTCAGGCCACACAGTGTGCTGCTGCAGTGCAGTCGTTTAGCCCCTAGAGAGGGACGTTTGAACTGTTTTTTGCTCTTAGCTGCAGCAACTATGCTTAGGTTCTTCTTCCTCTTCTCCTCCTCCTCCTCCTATATAATTCACACACCATGCAGTTCAACCATTTAAAAGGAACAATTCCATGGTTTTTAGTGTAGTCACAGATCTGAGCCACCACCCCCACAGTCCCTTCTAGAACACTGTTACCACCGCACAAAGAAACCCTGGACCCTTTGCTGTCTGCCTCGGTTCCCCCTCCTCTTCCCCTGCCTGAGCAACCACTCGTCTGCTTTCTGCCTCTCTGGATTTCCCTGTTTTGGACCTTTCCTTTAAATAGGGCCGCGGCCTTCGCACCTGGCTCCTTCCACTTGGCTGTTTTCAAGGTGGCGTGTGCCAGTGCTTCGTCCCTTTTTATGGCTGAGTAATAGTCCATTGCACGGGTGTTCCACCGTTTCTTTACCCGTCCAGCCACTGATGGATGCCTGGGTTGATGCCACTTTTGGGCGAGTAGGCACAGTGCTGCTGTGAACGTTGACGTACTTGTGTGTTTGTGTGTGTGTTCATTTCTCGTGGGCCCATGCCCAGGAGTGTGACTGCTGGGTCATGTGGCAGCTCTGTGCTCAAGCGTCTAGGAACTGCCAGGCTGTTTTTCAAGGGCTGCACCCTTTTTGCATTCCCACCAGCAGTTCTTGCGGGTTATCCATGTGCTATTCTTTTATGTACACCTATGGGTCTCTCCGAAGGACAGCTTCCTGCAAGTGTGGTTTCTGAGTTAAAGGGCATTTTAACTTTGGCAGCTTGACAACACCCCAGAAAAGCCCGTGAGGTGTGAGAGTGCCTGTTCCCCACACCTTCATCCGCACTATGAGGTTCTGGATGTGGCCATTCACAGGGAGACTCAGGTACCTTGGCGTAATTCTTCATTTGATTTCTCTTATCGTGAGTGAGGTCACACGGCTTTCCAAAAGGTTGCTCCTGGCTTCGAGCCAAGGAGGCCTCAGGTGGCCCAGGTCCAGAAGCCCTGCTTTGAAAATGTGTGGAGGCAGCCAACTTTCTTCCCAGTTTTGTTTGCTTTGGCTACACTGGACCTCCCAGGTGACTCAGAGACCTTTTGCAGCTGGGACGGGGTGGGGCCTGCAGGGGCGCTGACCGTAAATACAGGTGTGCTACGTGAGAGTGGACTGGCCCTTTCTCTTCTGACCTGCTGGCCCCTGCTGGCCTCAAGCCTGGCTGACCATGGGAAACATCTGAGGGGCCATCAAAAGTATAGGCTGCTGGAACCTTCTCTTGAAGCTCATTCTGAGGGGCACCAGGTAGGATTTCGGCTTCCGAAATCCATGTTCTGTAGTTCTCCCACCTTCTGTTAACTAAAAGCAATTCTTCCTTCTCCCTGGAGAGGCCAAGGATGACTGTCATTCACTGGGTTGGTTGGGACTGAGAACTGTAGTTAATAGCTTCCCAGTGATCCTGGTAATTATTAGCCAGGTTTGAGATACACTGTTCCACAGCCTCCCTCCCCCCTTCCCTTCCATATTCGAACACCTGCTCTGCCAGGCACTGATCTAGGTACTGGAGTCGCAGCAGTGATTAAGTGAGATTCAAGTCCTCATGGAGCCTGCATCGTGGCATTAAGTACAGGAGTGTGGGGCTTGATTTCCAGCACCATTTGGTGAGCTTTGCTATGGGACTATAGGCAAGTTGCATCGTTTTCTGAGATGTAATTCTTTTATCTGCAGCATGGGAATAATATTGCTGTCCACTCTGCAGAGCCATAGGTGGGAGTGAATGAAGGAGGGAGCACATTGGAGGGGTTCAGCACAGCACGCAGCACGGGACAAGCATTCAGCCCGTGGGCACCGCTGCTGTTACTTTCACCATTGTTGTTGCTAATGAGTGGCATCCAGCTTTCCAGGGTGACAGAGTCTTGCTTAGGTGTTTGGACCTTGGTGAACAGTGGGGATCCACTGAAGGGTGTCCAGAGAGAGATGCTGTGAGTGCATTTGTGTTTTTGAGCATGTGCTGGCTGTCCTGTGTGAGATAGCTATATTGGCAGTGGTTGTAAAGAGACAGAAAAAGCCAATTCAGGGGTAAAGAGCTTGGAAATGGTGCTTCGCTGACCACTTTGAGAGGGCAGGCCTTGGGGCCCTGGGTAGGGACTTTTAGGGCCATGTTATCAGCCTCCCATTGTCGGTGTGATGTCCTTAGGGGAACTCCCAGCTATTGAGTTCCCTCAAGGGTGTTAATAGCAGGAACTGTAGGTTACTCTGAGGTCTGCAAGGAGCAGGCAAGCATGCGGGAGCACTCGTGTGGCTCTGGAGTACTTGGCATGTGACTTCCGGCAGGTATCACGTCCTCCGTGGGGGCCTGGATGTAGGTAGGCACTCATGCAGATCCTACTATGTGGAGCAGTGAGTGTTTCTCATCCAGGGTCATCCTCCCCTGCCCCGTCCGGGGACATTTGATGATTGATGTCTGTAGACATTTTTACTTGTGGTAATTGTGGGGCGGGTGCTCCTGGCATCTAGTGAGTGGGTCAAAGCCAGGGATGCTGCTAACCATCTTATGCTGCCCATCACAGGTAATTAATTTTTAGTACAAAATGTCAGTGATGCCAAAGTTGAGAAACCCTGGTCTGCAGTGATGTGTTGACTTTGTTTAGAGCTATAAAACATCATGGACACATTAGGGCTTCTCTTTGTCATGACGGAGCTGTTTTGTAGGTTCAGCCCATATTTACCATCGTCTTGGGAGCTAGAGTCTGCTGAGGGATGGGGGTGGAGTCCCAGCCCCGGATGGGAAGCTGATTCAGCAACCAGCCAGCGTGGGATTGCGTGCTCACTACCACAGCGAGGGTCTGGGCTGGGCGCCGCGTGAGGAAGAGGCTCTGTCCTCGTGGGCATGGTGGAGGTGCAGGAAGTGGGAGAGGCCTCACTGCGGAGCAGCCGCTTGCGTGGAGAGTAGAGGGAGAGGCTGGCCAGGTGGCCAGCAGGATGGCCATCCTGAAGTGGGGTTCATTGAACACGAGCGAGGAGATGAGTCGGACAGAGATTTGGGCTGGGTAACTCTTCTGTTCTTTGTGGCCTGGATGGCAGTGATTTGGGGGTACAGAGCTGGTGTCTCCCCTGGGCCGGAAGGTTCCAGAATCTTTGCTCCACGTCTGGTGCCCTGGCGGCAGTGGTGGAAGACTGGGTTCAGCTGGAACTGCTGACTGAGCCCCGACTGCCGGGCAGTCCCAGGGTAGCCGGACGTACTACGTGGCTCCTGGTGACTCCCAGGGTGCATTTCCAAGAGTCTGGGCAGAAGCTGCAGGACTTAGCATGAGAAGTCCCATAGAGTCACATGCACCAGCTCAGGTCACCAAGGCTAGCTCAGGTTCAAGGTTGGGGAACTGCTTCATGGAGAGGGAGTGGCTGGCGCGTGTGTACATCTTGGGTGGGAAGAAACTGATGGTGACCACCTTGGAGCCAGGCGGCCACAAGCACACCTGGACTCTGGGTCCTGACTTCAGGTTCAAATCCCTGCGCTACCATCTCCTATATGTGTGATCCGAGGCCGTCTGTGCCTCAGTTTCCCTGTCAAGTGAGGTAATAATAGTTCCTAACTTATTGGGTGAGAATTAAATGGATATTATGTCATGCACTTTTGTATACATGGGAAATATTGTACAATTGGAGCAGAATACAGCAAGAGGTTTCTCACACTGGCTCCTTGAGAGTCTGTGATTCACGCAGGGAACTCCGGAAGTGCGGCCATGGTTCTTCTTTCCTCCCACGACCAGCGGAGCCGCCTCCACGTACAAAGCCGCCTCTCTGGCTGTTTCTGGGTTGAACCTTCGGGGTTCTCCTGCATCTGAACCATTCACAAGGCAGCCACCTTGGTGCCACCTGTTAGTGGAGTCTGGGCTGGTGTGGTAATAAGCCATGTTTAGGGCTTGGAGCGTGTGCATCTGGACTGAATAGGCTTTTAGCCTGATGTTTTCACATACATTTCTCCATCTGCTTATTTTGGGCAAGCTGCGGCTGCCCGTGAATGCAGAATGCTAAAAAAACCGAGCAGCTCTGTTTGGTGTTAGGTTCTTGGCTTGCCTAATAATAATG